CCACTTAAAAAGAAGCTGGACTGAGCCAGCAGGTGGTGTGTTTGCGGCAGCTGGATCCCACATGGCCAATTGTACAGTTTGAGTCCTGAACGCAGCAGCTTGAAAGTCACAACAGGTGCATGTATGTGTGCACCCAAAATCCCAAGTGGAGAATGGAGAAGGTCTGGACTGCAGCGTGGCCATCGCCCCTTCCCCAGGGGATGATTTCTCACTTGATCTCTCTCTCTCTGTCTCTCTCCAGCGAGTGTACATACCCTATGGCAAAAAATCTAAAATCAAAAAAGTTACCCCTCATTCCCTCCCATCCTGACATGGCAACTGTAGTTTGATCCCTGACTAAAATATGATTGCAATGCCAAAGAAAGAAGGCGTGATATGATCTGATCCTTTGGAGGGTGCTACTCTTTCTCTTGTTCTCACATTCACATGTTCTATCATGAATAAATGAAGAAATTTGTAAAGGGGAGATCTTTAATTAGAACAAAGAACAGCTAATTAAAAATAGCATAAAACTCAACAGAATAAGTAAAACAAAGCCATATTTAGGATATTTGAGGACTGTAATGATGGTGTATAAAGCACTTTTATCCCTACTGTAAGAGTTAAAAGACAAAACTATCAATAACAGCTATACCTACAATAAATTGTGAAGAGATACATAACAAAATGATATGTTCTAACAACAGAAACATAAAATGGAGGGAATAAAAGCATAAAGTTGTTGTATGCAACCAAAGTTAAGGGTTTTTTCTTTGAAGTAGGCAATATTAAGTGTAAAATGTCCTATTTTAGCTTCTTGATGACCACAAGCAAAAATCTTTTGTAGAAGCATAAAACAAAAATAAAAAGGATTCTAAGCATACCACTACAAAAAACCATCAACCACAAAGGAAGACAGCAAGGGGAAGAAACAAAGTATCTTCAAAAACAACTAGAAAACAATCAACAAAAAGAAAGCAGTAGTTCTTACCTACCAATTACCTTGAATGTTAATGGATTAAATACTCAGATAAAGAGAATAAATGAATAGAAAACAAAACAAAACAAATCAAAACACCCAAAACTTCCAAGTATATGCTGCCTACCTGGGATTCACCTCACTTTTTTTTTTTTTTTTTTGAGAGGTTTTTGCTATAGGGCACATGCACTCGCTAGACAGAGAGAGAGACAGAGAGAAAGCGAGAAATCACCCCCCAGGGGGATGGTCACGCCGCAATCCCTTCTCCTCCATTATCCTCTCGGGATCTTGGGCACGCACGCACACGCACCCGGCGTGATGCGAACCACGGTCGACTACGTGGGAGTCCAGCGACATAGCCATTACGCTAACTGCTGGTTCCCGGATTCACCTCACTTTTAAGGACCCACAAAGACTTAAAGAAGAGAGATAGAAAGATAATCCATATGAATGGAAATCAAGAGAGAGCAGGGGTAGCTATATTTATATAGGCAAAATAGTATTTAAGCCAAAATCTGTAAGAGACAAAGAACATTATATGATGATAAAGGAATTAATTTGTCAAGAGGATAAACAATTGCAAATATATATGTACTCAACATTAGAGCACCTATATAAAGAAAATGTTAAAGGGTGTAAAAGGAGAGAGAGATTGGAAAATAAATAATAGGGGACTTTGAGATCAGCAGATGGTGTAATTGTTATGTTGGTGGACTCTCATGTAGTTTACTGTGGTTTGAGTGCTGGACCCAGCAGATTAAAACTCATGCTGGGTTTGTGTGTGTGTGTGTGTGTGTGTGTGTGTGTGTGCGTGTGTGTATGCCCAAAATCCCGAAAGAAGAAGGCATGGCATCAACCTGGGGGATGATTTCTTGCGTTCTGTCTCTCTGTGTCTCTTGGGCAAGCTCACATGCCCTATAACAAAAATCTAAAAAAAGAAAAAGAAAAAAGTGAAAAGGAGAGGACTTCAAAACTCCACGTTCAAAAACTTACAGAGAATTCATACAACAAATTAACAAACAAAATTAGAAGATTTAACAATATTTTAGACAAAATGAACATAAATAATATAAAACATTCAACCTAACAGCAACAGAAAACATTTTTTTTCAAGTACACACAGAATATTCTCCAGGATGGATAAAATATCAGGGCATAAAACAAATCTCAGCAAATTAAAAAGATTAAAATCATATCAAGTATATTCTCCAATCACAATGGTATAAACTAGAAACCAAAACCAGGAATAATTTAAAAACATTCACAAATACATGGAAATTAAACAACATATTCCTGACTAACCAATGGGTCAAAGAAAACATTAAAAGGGAAATTTTAAAATATCTTGAAATAAATAAAAATGTAAGTGCAACATGCTAAAACTTACAGAATACAGCAACAGCAGTTCTAAGAAGGAAATTTATAGCAATAAATGCATATGCCTACATCAAATATGATATCAAGTAAACAACTTAATGCTCAATTCATCAAGGAACTAGAAAAAAGAACCTTTGTTCTTCAAAGTTAGCAGAAGGAAGGAAATAATAAAGATCAGAACAGAAGTAAATGAAATAAACATAAGAAAAGCAGTATAGAAGACCAATAAAACTGATTAACAACTTTTAAAACAAACAACTTTTTGATCTTTGAAAAGATAAAATTGAAAACCTTTAGCTAGACTAATAAAGAAAAAAAAAGACTCAAATAAATTTATAAATGAAGGAGAAAATGCTGAAACCGATAGCTCAGAAATACAAATGATTATATATGACTACAAGAACAGAACAGAATATGTAAAGCTGCAACATGAAACACTGATGTGCACAAATTAGTGCTTTCATACACAAGCAATGAACTATCTAAAAAAAATCACAAATCAATCACAATTCCATTTACAACAGCTAAAAGGAAAACAAAATACTTATGAATAAATTTACCCAAGAAGGTGAAATATCCACACATTGAAAACTAAAACAATGATGACAATGATGACGAAAACTGGAGAAGAGACAAATAAGTGGAAAGATATCCCATGTTCATGGATTGGGAAAGTCATGAATCTAATAGCCATACTTCTGAAAGCAATCTACAGAATCAATGCAATCCATACTGAAATTCCAATGCCATTTTCATAGAAGTACAAAAAGCAAGCCTAAAATTCATATGAACCATAGAATCTTAATTGGCCAAGGAAATCATGAACAAAAAGAACATAGTTGGAGGCATGACTCATACATAGGAAAGGCATTTATCACTTCTTCTTACAAGTGAGATAAATTTTGAGGATTTATCATAGAGATATTGCAAAATAAATGCACTTCCAAAGGGAAATTATATAAAGAATCACAAATGGTCATAACTAAGCCTGTTGTCAGGTAGGAGGGAAAAATGGTTAACAAAGGAAACAAAAAGAGTAAGAGATTGCAAGACAACCAATATATGAAAGCCAAGGGAAGGAAAAAAAGCATATAAAAGCTGCTATCAGTAGGTTGAAGGGCGAAAGGAAATCAGTCTATGGGTAAGAAGGGAATTAGTGCATGGGCAACAATGCAGTATATTAGAAGAATGTAAAAGAAAACCAGATTTGAGGAGGTCAAAACTATTAACAAGAAAGGAAGTAAAGCCATAATTTAATAAAGAAGAGGGATTCAGGATCAAGTAAATATTTCCTAGGATGGAGAGAGAACTGTACATAAGGAAGTCTTAAAAAAGAGACAAGACTTGAGATGGGAAGTGTAGAAGCATGAGATGTGCACAAGAGTGAGAAAGTGTTAACTTTGGAGTTTGGGTAACCCTACCCCCTTGTAAGCCTACAAGGAGGTAAGCCTAAAAGTCCAAGGGCCGAGTACTGCTGAAATAAAGGTACAGACACACTTTGGATGATGTTATCAACTTTATTAGTAAAAGCACAGTCTTCACAGAGAAAGAGGACGTAGAGAGCTATCATTGAGTCCTGCAAGTGGCCCACAACCTTGGTCAGGGCTTGGCAAGCTTGGTGAAATGGGGACAAACTGGATTCATTAATGATGATGGCATCAAATGGACTGAGTGCAAGCAGAGATCTGTGTTCTTACCTAGTTTCTTTCAGACCAAATATTTGAAACTGAGTATTTTAAATAATTCTTACACAAAAGACTCGGTGTCAGTCTTTCTAAAATGATCAAAGTATGATATTACCTTATGATCTGATTGTTGAGAAAAATGCCCAACAATTAAAAATGACAAATGTAAAACCAAAAGTAGTTGTTACTAGAATAAAAACCGTCTTTCACAGGAATTTTTCTTTAGCCAATTCTAATTACAGATTTCTTGTTGACTATTTTACGGTTATAAATTTGAGTAATTTATATTTATTAAAGGGAGAGCCTAGATATAGGCAATAATTTGCCTAATTTCAGTAGAAAATATGGATAACAAGTTGCTATTTCAAATTTCCTCAGAAATAGTTTTAAAATATCATTTATTGAAATAAGATTGTGGATTTTAGTCTGACACCATCATCCCATCATGCTATACTAGTAATACAGGGTTTAGAAAAACAGAAGCATTTTAAACTTCTTTAAATAAGCACATTTACTAAAAGCGTGCTTTTTATATTTAGGTAAAGGCCAAAACATATAGGGGCAGAATTCTATAAGAAGTTTCTGAATTGCTGACTTAACACATTTTTTTTTTTGGAGAGATTTTTGCTGTAGGGAGCGTACGCTAACCAGAAAGACAGAGAGGGACAGAGAGAAAGTGAGGAATCACCCCCCAGGGGGGGTGGCCATGCTGCAATCCCTTCTCCTCCATTCTCCTCTCGGGATCTTGGGCACACACACACACCTGTCTGGCATGAGTTTAAGCCACTGGGTCCAGGACTTGAACCGCGATCAGCTACATGGGAATTCAGTGACATAGCCATTATGCTAACTGCTGGTCCCTGACTTAACACATTTTAAAACAGTATAGATTACCTCCTTCAAACATGGTTATAATACTGTGCTGTCAGGGGTCATTTCCTTTATATGAACCAGAAAGAAAATTTACATTAAACATATTATTCATATTCATACTTGGTGATTATTTTATTACCATATATATTACTGTATACAATTTTGTCTGATAATAAGTAAAGATATATAAATCATACTTTAAACAAAAATCTGTGCATGGCATATGTAAGCAGTCACATTTTGAAGGCAATAAGAAAGCCATGAAAATGTTTGCCTAAAATTTAGTAATACTGAAAAACACCAGTTTGTGCACAGTAATGATCAAAAGCTTCATAATACATAAGAACACTGGTAAATCTTCAGGTACTATTAGCAGAAGCTGGTACAGGAAAAGTTCAAATTAGACACATCCATAACCCAAGACATGCCTATCATCTAAATAAAAATACCTCAGTATGGCAGTTCACTAAGCATTCGTTCTTGTTTGGCACTTAGCGATACAGACAAAGGTTTATTTTGGTTGAATGTGATTTTATTATTCCCAGATAAATTTTAGCTATTTTATATAGATAAAAATATACAATATTGCTTAAAAACGTTTAATTTTATAAGTGTATAATTGATCGTCATTATATTCACAATTTAAAAAGCCTACTTTTTTATTCACTAGACAATTCAACTAATACCATAGAAGAGATTATCAAAAAATGGTTTATATGAAGACTTTTAATGAAAGGGTTAAACATAAAAATAGAATACTAACCTAAACCACTGGTCTACAACCTTAATGATACCTCATGCTGGAAACAATTTATGAAATGTTTTAGACAATTTTTTTTCAACCTTAAATTGATTCAATAGATTCAAAATTTTGCCAGAAAATTCACAGAACTGAAATATTTTGTCTAAAGCCATTTTTATATACATTTAGTAAAAACAAGAAATGAAAAATATTATATTTCAATATATTTTGTTTGGCATTTCATCAAATTTTTTGACATGTCTATACCCTTCAAATGTCATATTTACATAAAAGAATGGCTGAGAGTGGCATTTTTTACTTTTAAAACCATTGGAGGACAGTGAAATTGGTGGAGTAATTAACTTGCCTTATTAACTAAAAAAGGAAATTATTTAACAAAAAACAACCTAATATTTCTAGAGAAACAAACTGCATGGTTGTCCTTTCTTATTACCGACTTACAAGCAATTTGATTCAATATCTGATTTCTTAAAAAGACACTCATAAAATATGCAAAACTCAAATTATTTATGTGTGTTAATAAGATAGGACTATTTTTAAATGAAAGATAGAAAATATCTGACGATAATTTTGTTCGTTATGTTTATAAAATGCTCCATTCATTTCACATATATACAATATTTCCCATCAGGCATTGCTGTCTTCAATCTTAATACTACTCAAATATGAGAAAATGATGTTTCCACCGTTCTAAAAAGTGAAATTTATAACATCAACATAATATCTCAGAAAGCATTATAGATTTAAAACAGTTTTTAAAGACATAATTTATACACATTGAAATGGGTGATTTAATTTAATGGAAAAGCTTGAAATAAATCTGCTGCTTTTCATTGCGATTTAATAAACATGACTGCATTCAACAACAGATTTTTTTACATTGCAACATTCAGCTACCATTGTGGAAATGTCAACAAAGGTAAATAGTGGTATACCTCTTTCTTTTTAAAACACTTGAACTTTAAGTGCTATTTTTTGTAGCATTTATGTAGTAAGAAATAATTTGGAAGGACATTTTAAAATGTTTCAACATAAGGCACACGGCAACATTTAAAGTCCAGAAGCAACTAGATTATGTAATAAATAATTATCTTTTCAATCTTTATTTGCCTTTTACCTGAAGAAAGTGGGTGCGCAGCGCAGTTAAAACATGCCTGAAGTAATAAAAAAAAATGACTGGACTTAGGAAATACAAATATTATTTGTGTGCAGAAAGCAAGTTATTAATTTAAAAAAGAAAAATAATTACTTTATATAAAATATACATCCTACAGTGTTATAGGTAGAAAAAAAGGTGAGGCACTTAGATTAACAGTGAAGGAACAAAAGCATTGAGATTACCTCTTTGTAAAAGCACCAAACCATTTATTTTAACATCAGAGGTAAAAGCAGAGGCTAAAAATAGAGGGAAATAGTTTAGTTTTGTAACTTTGTATTTGATTTACTAATAAGAATTCAGCAGTTCAACACTCAGAGTACTCCATTTTGATTTTAACAAATAATTCAGCTAGAGAAAGTCTTAGAATTCAGAAGTCTTAAAGTTCACCTGAATATGCTTTTATACTTTCTGTGGTACTCAGAATAATGTGAAGTGTGGATGATATCTCACTACTATGGCAGCACACTTTTTATTCAGCTAGGGTATATATCATTTTGAGGTTACTTTTTAAACTGCTTTTCTGAAAACAAACATTAAAGTTTGGTTTGGAATGATGGTGCAAACATGCGTCAATGCCTCCGTGCGAACTTGTTCATGTCCGGCGTTGACAGTTTCGTGTAGTCCTTCACAAACTAATTCAATCCAAAAACCAAGGTGAAAATCAGCCTTGCGATTACAGGAACCCACTGGATGTCAAATCGGGGAAAGCTCGAGCATCTGATGGATGATGAAGTGACTGGAGATGGGTGGCATTCTGCGTGTTGCTTACGTTATTTAATTCGTCTGGATATGTTTCATTTAAAACTCCTCCATTCTGAAACTGAAAACAAAAAAATAGCAATGCAACTTAGGCCTTTCAAATATGTCATGCCATTAAATGATGTAATATTGGGTTGTCTGAAAAGTCGTGACGTATTTCTGTTTGTCTATGCAAAAATGCGTCATGATTTTTCTGATGACCCAATAATATGTATTTTAAAACTCTTAGTCCTGCATGTTGTTAAACTTCGCATTCCTTTACTGCTGCTGCATTTAAAATCTTTCATTCAGTGAAGTCAATCTGAATATATTTTATGTATTTATTACAGCTGTCCTTCAGTATTTGCAGGGGGATTGGTTCCAGAAACCCACACAGGTGACATAACCTGTGGTTGCTCAAATTGCCTACAGTCATCCTTCTGTGGTTGGTCAAATTGTGGGTGCATACCTGAGGATATGAAGGATCAACTGGAGTTGCATTTATAACCTTTTGGTTTTTCATAAGTTCAATATGAAATTTTGAAGCTAGTGTAGACGAACAATATGCTGTCTTACTTCAGACTGCCTTTGAGTCAGAAAGGAATCGATTAATCATGAATATCACAGTCAAATACTCTCCAAGATAAGAAGGTTTTCTCTGAGAAGACTTCATTTCACTCAAGTTCTTGGTATCAGTGGACTGATTATATTTAGGATTACTACATTGGACTGGAGCTGATCCTGGGTCATTTTTTTTTTTTAAAGGCAATTTCTGATTTTCTAAAGGTTTTCTAATATTTGTAAAATATTACACCATAGATATAATTTCCTTAACCAGTTTCTTATTTGTTATATATTTTTAATTAATAAATGCCTCTAAAAGCATTGTCCTGATTACATAATTAGTTACCAAGAACTCTTTCTTGTCTTCTTATACTGAAATGAGTTTGGTTTCTACAACTGCTAATAAAAAAAGAAGGAAAAAAGCAAAGCAAAGAAAGACATGGAAATACATAGTTCTGTAGTCTTATAAATTATAGGGCCTTTGTACTTTAGTAGTTTGCACTTTACTAGGAAAAGTTGCAGAAACTTTTAAACATTAAAATCATACCCTTAATTGCTTCAAACAACAGCTATCTTTCTAGAGCATCTGTAATATTATGCTTTAGTAATAAAATGCTGATTACTTCAAAGATCCTCCAACACATACATAGAAAACCTCATAACCTGTATCTTTAGAGAATAGTATCTTTGTCAAAACTTCAAATGGAAGACAATATTATTTTGCAAAATAATGGTGGATTTTACTTTTCTCATCAGCCATAATAAAATGTATGCCAACTATTCTCTGTTGGTGTATTAAATATTTAAATATATCATATAGCATAGTAACATCCAATAGAAATATAATGTAGCCACTCAGGCAACTTCCATTTTTTTTTAAATTTTTTTTCTTTTTTTTGGAGAGGTTTTTGCTATAGGGCACATGTGCTTGCCAAAAAGACAGAGAGAGACAGAAAGCGAGAAATCACCCCCCAGGGGGGGATGGCCATGCCGCAATCCCTTCTCTCCATTGTCTTCTTGGGATCTTGGGCACACATGCACACGTGCCTGGCGTGAGTTTAAGCCACCAGGTCCGGGACTCGAACCGCGGTTGACTACATGGGAGTCCAGCGACATAGCCATTATGCTAACTGCTGGTCCCAGGCAACTTTCACTTTTATAGCTGTCACATTAAAAGTAAAAAGAAACAGGTGAAATTAATTTTATTAATATATTTTACTTAAATGTAGCTAAGAATCATTTCAACATGAAATCAATTTTTAAAAGATGAGATATTTTACATTCTTTGCTTGAGCTGGTGTGATAATACTCATGGCAAACAGACTGGACTAGCCACATGTTAAGTGCTCAATAGCCAATGTAACTAGTGGATACAGGAAAGAAATATCTGGGACTATAGGATTATTTGATTATTCACAAAGAAGCAATATAAAGTAGTGGGAGAAAATCACTTTGAAGAACTCCTATGTTACTAATATAATACTCTATTCATTATTTGTTTTTACATATTTAACATCTATAAAATGTACTTTACTCAAAATATATATTGTAATTAAATATTAAATAATGATACAATTGAAGGCTGTCAGGAATTAGAAAAAGAAAAACCTTCGAAAACATTTTCTATTTAAAAGCTCACACACAAACCCACCAAATATATGAAAAAAGACAAAAATAATAAAGATTCAAGCCACACATTTAAATTTCTATATAGTAAATAATAAATAAATAATAAACTTATCACAGTTGAGATATTATTCAGAACTAATTTGAGTATACTTTCGCATGAACTAAATATTTTCTAATAGAAAATCTTAAGTTCAAACACAACATATTTGGGTCAGCCAGTGGTATGATGGTTAAGACAGTTGGATCCCAACTTCATATTTTGTACATGGCTAACTACATATTTTGTACTCTGGACCTGGTGGCTTGAAAAACATGCTGGGTACACGTGCAGGCTACGCCCAAAATCTCAAAAGGACATAAATGGAGAGGGATTCTGGTGTGGCCATTCCTCCTGGGGGGTGCTTTCTCATTTTCTCTCTCTGTTTTTCTCTAGAACATGCATATACCCTATAGCAAAAATTAAAGACGAACAAACAAACAAAACTCACAAATTAATGGCTGGCATGGAGAACAGCTATTATCATTATACTGCCTTTTATTTTTTAAAAATGATTATTTTAGACCTAATATGCTTGTTGTCGTCATGATGCATTTTAAAATTAAAAATACACAACACTAAGTTTGATTCTTATGAGAGAAGTGGAGATACCTCCTTAAGAATGCCAGGAAAAAAGAAAACAAAAACATTCTAACTTTAACAAAAATGTGAGGATTAGACAGATAACATGGAGCGGGAACCAGAGAGCACAGAGGCGCCTAGGACTTAATTCTACAGGTGATGTATGACAAATGTATAGCAAAAAAGTACACTTCCATTTGATTTTATTCCAATTTCCAACATATGTAAAAAGCAAATTGAGTTTTGAAGAAATTATTTTTAAAAATCAAGTATGTTCTTAATGTTTAAATTTTTAAAAAGCCATCTAATTTTTAAGAACTCAGTAAAATAAATCAATTTTCTATACTAAACCCAATCCTTTTAACTAATTTCACCTGATAATTTAGGTCATCTTACATTAAAGATATATTTGGGAGCTTTTAGCATTTGATTTTTTTTCTCCCTCATGATACAGGTAAGTATGACATACTTACGTGGTAACATATTAAGAAAAATACTGGCTTATAAGAGTAGTCATCACAGATGGAGTTAAAAATGCTATTTCCATGAATTCTACAGATAACAAAATCAGTCACCAATATAACAATGTATAACTCTTGACTATGTTTGAGAAAGTTAAAAAAAAATCACGAAAATAATTTATTTAGTTTGATAAAGTCCTTACCTTGTTTAAAAATACTTGTGGGCCTGGAATTGTTGGATTATACTGCATCTGACCCCTATGAGTATGCTGAGGTGCTGGTTGGCATTGATACATTGACACTGCTCCAGCATAACATGTCTGAGGGGTTACCATGGTTGACTGTGGATGCATTCCACGCTTTTGGTTTTCAGGAACTTGTAAACAAGTTACAAAGTCTTCTAAATTAGAAGTAGTAGTAGGGTACAGGGATGGTTCAAAATTCTCTATAGGAAAGTCCAACTGTGTACACTTGGAATCTTGTGGTAACACAGACTGATTACAGGGAATAAAGTTCTGTGTATAAGGCATGGTATCAATCTCA